TGTGTGTGTGTGTGTGTGTGTGTGTGTGTGTGTGTGTGTGTGTGTGTTTTAAATTTAGTTCAAAATCTGCTGATGCATCCCAGTTCTATATCTCAGCTGTGCTACATTCTGGACTACAAAAAACACTGGTTATGGCCAGACTAGGACAAATTCAACTGAGCATGTCTTTACAGCATCTGGAGTGGATGCAGTTGGCGAGGTGGTCATGTGCGTGGACATTTTGCCCCAGCCTAATGGAGAGCACAAGATTAATGTCAAAGGTAAAAAAAAAGCTGAGCAGACGGCAACGCTGTCACAATCTTCTCCTCACATTTTCTTTCTTTAATTCAACCTCCGTCTGTCCTCCAGTGGTGGCTGCTAATGACCTGAAGTGGAAGGCTCAGGGCTTCAGGCCCTTCGTGGAGGTCTACATCATCGGCCCTCACCTCAGCGACAAGAAGAGGAAATTTGCCACAAAGTCCAAGAACAACACCTGGTCACCCAAGTTCATTGAGAGCTTCCAGTTGTGAGTGTCGGCCATTTCTGCTGGATTTGATTGTCTTCGTCATTGAATTTCTTGAGTTAACTTGCAGTGCAACAGGACAACATGCAACACAGCAGACTAACAACACTTCAAACTATAATTAGACGTATTGAAATACAACAAATACCATACATTAATACAGTGAAGACAATAACATGCAAAAGACATGTATGTTTACTGCAAGGCGAATTGTATACTGGATGACTGAAGTGTATTGGAAGAGTTTGAAACACGACTATTGAACGCTAGTATAAAACCACTTAATAAGGCAGTGAAGTAAAACATGGACTCGTTCTTGTTTCAGCTCCTTGGGCACTGAGGTTGGTCCGGAGAGCTACGAGCTGCAGGTGTGTGTGAAGGACTACTGCTTTGCCAGAGAGGACCGCACTGTGGGCATGTCCGTGGTGCAGGTGAAGGACATAGCCAGCAAGGGCAGCGTCACCCTCTGGATGCCGCTGGGCAGACGTGTCCACATGGACGAGACGGGCCTGACGGTGCTGCGCATCCTCTCCCAGCGCAACAACGACGACGTGGCGAAAGAGTTCGTCAAGCTCAAATCGGACCAGCGCTCGGCTGAGGAGGGCCGTAGTTGAGGGGGACACACGCGTGTGCACACCAGAGACATAGTAGGCTATTCTGCACACCTGTAATAGTCCCACCTACATCGATAAACAACTGTGTGCAATACACAAGCACACACATGAACATCCTCTATTGTACATATACCTGCATACATTATGCAACATTCACATTATCAATGCAAACATGAAGGAATATGTTTATAAATATTCATATTTCATTTTGAATATTTCATCAGCTCGACTCAAAGCTTTCAGTTTCGGGTTAGTCTCACATTAGCGAGCACTTGTCTAACCCTTCGCTCAATCTTTTCCATAACACATCGCACCTTTTTATACGCTGTACATTTAGATGTGATATAATGCAGAACAACAACTAAACCATGTGAAGGACGACCACTTTGCACTTTTGCTTCTCCGTGTCTTCAGGAGAGCTGTCCTTGCATCGCTGTGCTCTCCGTCCGTCCGTCCGTCTGCTTGCCTGCCCAACTGTGTGTCGTTCTCCCAGTACGTTGGTCTTTCTCCCCCCCACCTCTCCTCCCCTCCTCGTCGTCTGCTCTCGGTAGTCTTCCTCCCGGTGAGATGTGTTGCGTAGGTTGGAGTTCAGGCACAGATCTATGATCAGCTCGCTTTTGCCCAAAAAATCGAGGTAACGTCACTTCTAGTCTGTCCCTAAATGTCCTGCATGTTGACCCCAGGAACACTGTGATTCACTTTGCTGCAAACACGGCGACCGTACCCCCTCCCACATAAAAGTTGGGGGGCCTTCAATATTTTCCCTGTGTGCGCATGGTGCATATATCCCCCTGGTGTAATACGGTTTTATAATTATGACCTGACTAACTGTCATTATCACGGAGTGGGAACATGCTGAGCCTGATATGTGTTGATAAAGAAGAAGGTAGTGGCCACAATGTGCTTCTTCTTTATTTTTTATTTTTCACTCTTCTTGCTTGACGTCACAACAAACGAAGCAATACCCCAGTGTCTAACACATCCACTCCCCTAGAGTGCACATTAACTCCAAAAAGGGCTACAGGATTAGTGGTCTGGGATGTTTGTTTACGCACTAACACATACTGTCCACGCTTCTTTTGGCAAATTGACCCCAACGTTTCCCCTCGTGCCCCCTCGTCTACCTTCTCTGCCACAGAGACACCGTCACACAGAGAGTCTTTCACGAGTGACACTATGGAGGAAGCCCAAAGGACACGCGATGTAGGACGACACTCCTCCCGATTGCCTGCACACTAAACCCATCTCTTTAAGGCAATAGTGGTTTGTTTATATGTCCACGGAACCTCGTGGTTTTTACGAAGAACAAACCCCCTGAGAACACTGTTGTGTCTTTTGTTATTGTGTGCGTGCGTGCGTGCGTGCGTGCGTGTGTGTGTGTGTGCGTGTGTGTGTGTGTGTGTGTGGGCTGATTGTCACACCTGGCAAAATGGGATTCGCGATTGTGAGCAATATATTCTATTTGCACACCTAAATGTATGCGCTGTCAATATAAATACAGGAGCACCAACTGCAATATCCAGATCCAAGGAATGGGAAAGTTATCATCATTTTTTTAAAATTATTATTTTAGCTATGGACTCATAAAATCTCCATTCCCGCTGGAAGTGTGTAAGCTTGTTCTCACATTCTTTTGGATAAGAAAGAAAGTGTTTTGTCTTTGAATTCCTATTTGCCTTTAGGACCAAATTTGCACGAACCATAGAGCTCATTTTATTTCTCAAATAAAGAAGCCATCGGAGTCACCGCCAAGCATTTCTGTTGTTTTCAGTCTCGTCATGTAATGAACCCCTTTTACTTTTCACTGCAAGAAAAGTGAGCAAACACTCACAGTCCTCGTCCAGCTCGTTTGTAGACTCTATGTGAAACTTAATGATGTCAGTGACGGTGAGGTTTCCCTGTCGCTGTGTAGAGCCACACCGACTGTCACTGCTGGCCTGTCACATGTTGTCTTTACTGTTGAACTCTACCAAAAACAAAACTTTTGAATGTTATTTCTCCTCAGCGGAGCCTTCTTTTTACGATCAAAGGGACGGTTAAATCCAAAACCACGACTAGCTTGGGGACACCGACTCCACATTTCATTTACATAAAATGGATCATTTTGGGTGAACTAGCCTTTTAAAAAAGAGCTTCACACCACATTTAACACATTGTTTTTACGAGTTTATTAAGTCATTCAAGACAAAACTTGAAATGTCAGGTTGTAGCTGAAAAAAGCAACAACAAAAACATTTGTAACCGATCATCCAGTTTCGGGCTCGTTGGTTGCCTGCTTCGTGTATGTACGCACACACATACACACACTGCACACACACACACACACCGATCTCTGCTCAAGCACAAAAGGGCACATGTAAGATGACACATGCATGTATGCACGCCGACAACTCCGTGGAGACCAATGACGCCCACCCTGTGAATAGAACCTACTTACAACTGCATGATGGGAAACTTTATCGTGCCAGCACGTGTCTCTTTGATGTAACTTTTTCATTTATTTTTAATTTCCATAGCTATGTAATGATAAGTCATCAATGTTTTTTTTTTTTTCAAAAAGCTTGTGAATACGTCATCTGTAACCAATATGAATGTAGTGTCTACACAGAACTGGCATGAGAGAATTATTTTCTACAAAGGATGTTTCTAATTTGTTTCTTATCATTATCGATCGTTCTTTAATGAGGAGAAAGGGGAACTGGAATGCAGCCTGGTTGTGATCTGCTTCCTATTAAAGGGACATTTGTGTCATGATCTACACGTCTGTTTTATTATTCACTCTGTGGTGCCTAAGGGATCACATTACTGCACTTTGATTTGTACGTGTGGGAATGTGTTTATTCAATTGTTGAAGCTCAGAATACATATGTTTGACATATACTTACAGGAGCCTTCGTTATGAAAATGTGTACGTTTCAAAAGGTGTTTCGACAGATGCTTTACCCTCGCAGATGAAGACAACAGGGTGTTGTATTGACACAAACCATCCACTGCACTTCAGTCTGTTCTCAACGTGCCCTTTGACCTCTCTGTGCATGGGGGAGGGGACTACTACTCACTACCACTTTACTCAGGTTGAACCAGGTGTTTGAGCAGTCAACAGAGGTGAGGAACAAAAAAAAGCGCAGTTGCATTTAGTCTAAAACAAATATTTGTTCACACCTAACGCTGTTTATTTAAAGTTCCAGCTGTAATGCTCAAACCTGCTGGAGGTTAAAGAAACCAAACCTTCATTACCACCTTCCAAAGAATCAGTGCTATGGAACAACCACACAGAGCAGAGAGAACTGTGCCCATTTCTTTGTTGCATTCCCAACTTTTTTCAACATAATATACTATCACTTTTTTACTATAAGTTTTTCATGATTTCAACATGCTATACTGTGACTTTTTCATGATTATTTTGACATATGACTTTTTAAGGACTATTTTTGACATTCTAAAGAATGACTTTTTTTGACCACATATGCAGTTTACAAAAATCGTCAAAGGAAAAGCACAAATTCTAAGTCATATTGAGAAACTGATCTTTCAACATTTTTGCCTGAAAAATTACATATAAGCTTAAAAACAGTTCCCAATTAATCTGCTGTCCATCGTCTTGATTCTTTTGTTTGTTTCAGTTCTATATCAGTTTGTGAAATGACCGAAAAGATTTCCACTAGAAAGTCCCAGAATCCAAACTGACATTCTTAACTTGTTTTACTATGTGTATAAAGATATTTAATCCACAGCAATATAAAACAAATCCTCATTTTAAAAGCATCAAATTGCTTGATAAGGGCCTTAAACAAACTAAAATGCTAAATTTACTGTTGACTGACCATTTTAGCACTACTCCAGACAACACAAAGCTACACCTAAATCTATTGAAGTGTTTGATAGTGGCCCATCCCAATGTTCTAGATTCACAAACATGCCTGAACTGCAGATTTCATTCATGTTTTTATCTGCTGCAGGGGTGTGTGTGTGTGTGTGTGTGTGTGTGTGTGTGTACTGCCACCATGTGGCAAAGACACAGATGACCAGGCTGCAGCACATTTCCACTCTGAACAGAACAAATAAAGACACCAGACCAAGTACTTATTTTACAGTAAAAAAATGAAACCAAAAACAAGACTTTATTAAAGAAGCATAAAAAATAAAACTCTTGATACATTTCTCATAACCGTCAAGTCAGCTCAAATTATACGATTATACAATTTTTCCGGCTCTTGGTTAAAAGGTCCATAAACTTTCAAATAAAATATATTTCAATTTTAAAATTTCTTCAATAATTCTCATTTTGTTATAAATTGCCTATATGTAGTACACAGGAAATAAGGAAAATAAAAAAAATGGAAAATAAAAATAAATTTGAAGTAATAAAAAGGGTCACATTATTGTCTGGGATATTTAGGTAAGCAAATAAATTGTAAAAAATAAAATGTGTAAAAAGTTTTTGTTTTTTTTAATCTTAAAAATTATTAGCTAATGCCAGATGGCTTGAAGACATGCAGATGGTTAACTTACAAATAATTATACATGTTCTTTAGAAACTACACTTATCTTCATTTGAGTCATTTTGCTTTTGAAAACAACATCCCAATGATTGTACTCAGGGTATTTACACACACAGGTCAGGCCTGAAACCTAGTTTGTCCACGTTTTACATTTTGGTTCTGCATACAAAGAATTAAAGCCAAAAATAGAAGAGCGGCGGCGGCTTAAGGGGTGTCCTCCCCCCCCCCCCCCTTACTGGCATGGCTCTCTTTGCATCCCCCCCCCTCTCTCTAATCACAAAAAAGGTCAGAGGTCACTGGCTAGCATGCCTCAGGAAACCCTGTTTTCAAACCTTTAGGGAGGAAATGGGGGAGGGGTGAGTTTGGCTCAAAAAATAAAAATCAGCAGTCAATCTGAAAAACTTTGTACCTTTTAAACAACGAAACTACTGTACATTAAACCCCAACATCCTCTTATTGGCCAGAAACATCCCAGTGCAACACCGGGATTTACATTAGACCCATCTGGCAAATACAACACGCTTAACTCCTTTAACACGTCGACTTGAAAAATGCGCTTTAAGATCGGCCTCAGACTCACGAGACGGCCTTCGACGGATCTGTTCACTTGGACGCGTTCGCGGCCCTGCATCTGATCCGAGGGCGCTCAAGCGATGCCACGTTTGACACCAGAGCCAGTTTTGACGGGAATGATAACCGGGTTGTCGGGTCTACTGTGGACTGCAGAAGTTTAGATTGAGAACCACGACTCTCCCAGTACTAAGTGGGTTTGTTGATCGCAGTGTTTCAGTAGGGAGTTGCACCAAAGCACCATGGGATAGTCTTCACAAAGACTACCGGTTCAGCTCCCGGGCAGATTTTTCTTCCTACACATGTGGACACATGAATTAGTGCATTACTGCAACAGGACAGCGGCTTATTAGATTCCTCTGTGCAGCTGCTGCTGCCCTCGTCACTTAACTGAATGAACAGTCAGACAGCAAATAAGTTTAACATCCTACTGGCTGGAGCAACTTAAAGCACAGCAGAAACTGCCCATACTCACATATTATTTACTCAAGTAGAGCTACCCTTTTTCCCCCCCTTGATATTAAAACCCACCCTGATCTGAGACTATGTCCAGAGAGCAGGACACACTGACTGCAATGCCCTATGCTCTACTGACAGGATACGAATGTGAAGACTGTATAGGAACAGTTAGGAAATAAAATGGATTTAAAAAAAAAAAAAAAAAAAAAAAAAAAGCAAAACATTCTGCAGCTGCTGGGATTTGAACACAAAGAGTGTCTGGAAGCCCTGGATGACCTAGCTACTAGCTGCCATAAAGGATAAAGTTCTACCTACTGCGCGTGAGCCTGAACATGTGATTGTGTGTCTGTGCGGTCAGAGGAAGCCCTTGAGAATTAGATGTGTCGTTTTAATTCTGTTTTCATGGCTTGTCTCATTCAATGAGCTGATTCATGTTCAAAAAAAAAGAAAGAAAAAAAAAAACAAACAAAAAGGGCCACAAACAAAAACCGTGTACCATCGCCCAAAGTCATACGTACAGTATTTAACACTATAAGAGGCGGTTACTGCAAACTCACACTGAATTCTTTAAAAACCACTAACACAAAACAGGATGCAACCGCCTCATCTGGAGTTACTCAGCAATGCTTCGGAAACATAGGACGAAGCTCAAACTAACCATTTAGTGCACCACGGTTGGCCGGGAGGACAGCGCTGTATGGGTACGAGTCCTCTGAGAGAGTGCCATACAGCTTGGCTGTGAGAGCGGGGTGGAAGACCAAAACAAAAACAGTAAGAGCTGTTTCTTATCTTTTTAGAGGGGCCCGGAGTTACAGTGCATGAAAAGAAATTGTTCTATCGAGCCCCTTGTTATTGTTTGGTGTGGGGCCGAGAGGCCGCCTCTCCGTAACCTTATTGGACAAAAACATTCACGTGTGATATCAGAAAAGCCCCATCTTATCTTAAGAGTTCAAAATATGTCTGCGAGACACACTCGACAGTCACGAGTCAAAAACTAGTAGAAAATGCTAAATGAGCCGATCCGAGTGTAACAGACGGGATGTGAAAGGAAAATGTCCTGGTGTGGACGGATCGGAGCAAGAGTGAGAGAGTGAGAAGGTCTAAAAACCAGGTCTTCTCATGGCGAGGACACATAATGGTGCGGATATGAAAACAGCATGAGTGGGCATTATTCACATACGAGAGAGAGAGAGAGGTGGGATCGTGGGGAGGGATTGTCAGGCAGCCCAAACGTACAGAGAACTGACCTCAAACATTCCCATAGTATCAGTAATGTTACACTTCTCCCTAATTAAAAAGGATAATTAATGTGAATTAATGCAGCAGCCACATTTGAAATGTGGAGCATCCAAATTCATCCGACATGTTATTGAATTTGATCAATTTCAGTCTATTAATAGCATTCATTTGACGTTACCGGTCGCTAATTTGTGTGTGGCGAAGAGAAACAGGAAGTCATCCTCAAGGGGTCCGTCGGTGTATTCCTCCGATAGGTGCCTGACTACATGTGGACCTATATATAAAAAAAAAAGTTCCAAGCTTGCAGAAAAATAGCAACCGTGAGTGAGAGCAAGATGAGGAAGCAAAGGTGGAGTGGGGGGGGGGGGGGGGGTTGTTGGAACGGTTTGCGTCCTGTCAAGGACATTAAAATAAGGAGTAAAAAATTGCAGGCCTCATTGACGGCTCCATTGAAAAATATCTGTTAAGTACAAAAGTGTCAAAAGGAAAAAGTCTGTGAGAGAGAGAAAGCAGGTAGAGATCTGAAGAAGCCAGAATGAAGAAATGACAGACCGGCAGCCAGCAGGGCGGGCTGCTCCGGGTCAAAATGAAGGCCTGAAGAGAGATAAGACACTAGTTTCCTTCCAAAAGTTCACCACCAAGAGACTGAGCCCCAACTGTCTGAAGATCCAGTTTCAGTTAGCTTCACTCGGGAAAATAAGTCATTGTAATTATTATTATTATTGTTATTATTAATCTTGACAGTTACCAGCGAAAGAAAAATCAACATCCGTATCGTATCGTCATCTCTATTATGCATTTATTATGGTCCATCATGTGTGTGTGTGAACGTTATTAGTGTGAATCCTTCCATTGCCTCTGCCACAGCTAAAGCCCCACTTCAGTCTTCTTCCTGCCCCCAACCCACTCCCCAGCCAGGGCATTAGGAGAAGATGCGGATGCACTGTGTAGTGGGGGTGTGGCAGACGGGGCACTCTGGGTCAGCTGACTGGCAGATTTGCCCAGCGCACTCCATGCAGAACAGGTTGTGGCCGCAAGGCACCAGGGCCGCTGTCACCTCGCTCTCAAAACACACAAAGCAGTCCCTGTTGATCCCGGGGCCGACTCCGACGAGACCCGGGACCCCGGGGCCAGAGCTTCCTTTCAGCCGGCTCAGCATCCCAGAACTGAGGCCCACGCCGCTGCTACCTCCCTCGGAGTCAGTGGGTGAGCCGCCGGGCAGGGAGGAGGCCGAGCAAGAGGAGTAACCGGTCGACGACCCACCGGAGCTGGAGCTAGACGCTCCGGAGAAGGAGCCGCCTCCTGCGCTGCCAGACTGCAACCAGGAGAGAGTGCTGAGGGGGTCGCTCTGTGCGCGACGGGCCAGAGGATGATCCAGGGGGCCCACGCCCGTGTCCTGAGGCAGTGTTGGAGACAATCGTGGAGTGATGGCGCCGCCACTGAGGCCGCTGCTATTGCGACGTAGAGGCTGCTGCTGCTGGGCGGAGCCGGCCGTCTTATTGCCTGGTCCACCGTTGACGAAAGGTGCCCAGATGTTAGCGGCACTGAACTCAAAGCCCAGTTCCTCTGAGGAGGGCAGCCCTGGGGTGGAGTCGCCCCCAAAAGTGAATCCTCCTCCAGCGCTGCTGGAGGTGGTGCTAAAGGGGCTGGTGGGGCTGCCTCCCTCGTTGGCCTTGCGACCGGTGCTGAAGTTGTCCGAGCTCATCCCGCCGTTGTGGGTGTGATAGGCTACTGAGGACGACATCTTCCGGTTAGATGAGGGATGCATGGACATGGGAATAGGAGGAGGAGGAGGGGAGGGCGGAGGAGGAGGGGGTGCAGAATGGTGGCCAGAAGCCCGGGACCACAGAGACGACCCCAGTCCTCCGCTCAGGGCGCCCAGGCCTTCTAGACTGACATCGGTGCCGTTGGAGTGGAAGTCATTGTCTCCCTGCAGGTCTACAAAGGTTCCAGTTCGCAGGGTGATGTGGGTCTCGATCTCCTCTCTCGCTCGGTCCACGTTCTCCGGCATGCCGGTCACCTCGAACACCGGGTCTTTCTCTCTACTAGGCGTCACGATGTAGGTGTGAGTCTGCTGCTGGATGCGCTTAATAGTTGCTCCTTTTGGTCCAACAACTAAACCAACTACTCGGTAGGGTACCCTCACCTGGATGAGTGACAAGAGAAATGCTTTAATGTCACCACAGATGTTATATATTTCACATCCAGTTATCCCTTTGTTACCCAGCAGAGTAAACACAGTATGACTAAGCCACGGGGATTTCTGTACCTGTATAGTGGTCTGTCCAGGTAAGTGTGGTGGTCCAGGAAGAGAGCCACCGCCGCCGCCACTGCCTGCTGCTGCTCCTGCTGCTGCTGTTCCTCCTCCTCCTCCTCCAGGCCCTCCGGCTTTGCAGCGGGATGCCCGGATCATAGAGAAATGCTCAGCCGCAGAGACAATTTCACGCTTGGCCATCTCCACGTCCTCCCTGCGCCCCGTCACGATGAAAACGGGCTCCTCACCTCGGACTGGAGTCTTTATGTAGGTATTTGTTTTGGCACGCAGAGCCTTTATCTTACAACCTGGAAGATGCATAAACATCCTAATTTGTACACAATCACAACACACAAGCGCAAACACAGTATAAATACACTCGTTCAAAACATCTGTGATGCTGTAGTTTGTTGAGCTGGTGTTTCTAGTATTTGGCTGAGCTTATTGATGTAAATGAGGTAGACAAAAGGGTTATAATAGACTGAATTAATTTAAACTACAGTATGTGTACCTAATTAACTGTCAACTGTGTTATAGGCTGTTCAAAACATGTAGTCAATTGAAAACTGCTACATACATTTTACATTTTGGAATTCAACAATAACATGTTGGGTACAGAATCCTCAAAAATAAAAAGTAATCAACACCACAGCACTCTGTGGTTAAGTGATGTGTTCATGCACTGTAACAGAAATAACACAAAAGCAGAAGACACTCTGGAGGATATTCACGAGTCTGTCTGTCAAAACACCAAGTCAGTAGCTGCTGCACCGCTCGAGTCAACTCCTGCTCTGTTTCTTTAAATATGGACGCTTCATTCTCGCCGACCAATGAGGCACGCGGAGTGTGATGTCATTCTGGGAAGCAGAAAGCATGGCTTTTTCAAACAAAGAGAACAATGCCGTAACGCTGCCGCGGCTGCGACGGACGAACCGAACCCACAACATTAGTCTATTTAAAGTAGAGACCTTATGCTGATGAAAAACAAACGATACAAATTTAAAAATGACATTTATACAACGTAGCGACTGATACTGGAGCAGCAGCAGACGGAGCTGGGTGCAGGGCGTAACACCGCCCAGCCCCGTGTTTGTGCGCCTGCTGCTCCCGTTTCAGCTTCAAATCTGCTCAGCAGAGACCGTAATAATACACCACGAATGTCGACATGAGCTACAAATGTGCGTTCCGTGTCCACAGATTACGGTCTGAGATACATTAAAATCAACATATTTCCTTTGTTTGGTGCAGGCTGCTAGACATGTCCAGACTCCCGACAATCTGCCGCTTTGTCCGACCCTCTCCCACCCCTCCCCCTCTCTCCTGCTCATCAACCGCACTCTCGCTCTATGTTGAGGCATTGTCTGAATATTGTTTAAAATTGAATATGAATATAGCGGGTAAAGCTTTTTTTGGTGGCGCTCCGGCAGCATGCTGGTATTTAAAACGCAAACGGTGAATGCACACCGAGCAGAGCACCAAGCTCAGGCTGTAAAAGTTAACCAGAGACCCTCCTCTCACCAGACTGCCACCCAAACAAAGGACACCCGGGCTTGCATGCTGCCTGAACAAGCGGCCCATAAACATAAACACCAAATAATTCATCACCAACTAAACTGCACCACACACACACACACACACACACCCCCCGTGCTCTTACCTTGTCTCCCCACTATTTCAGCCACATGTTCGGAGCTGGGGACGGGCACACACTCGGTCATGTTGACACTTCTTTTCCTGCTGCAGAGGACGGAGCTTTGTTCTCCGTGGAGCATGGGGTGCGAGCTGGCCATGTGGTACCCGCCCGTGCCGTAGTACTCCGGGGATGGAGAACAAGACGACGGCGAGTCCTGGGACCCGTTGGGATGCTCCAGCATCTGTAGGTCCACGTAGCCCACACCGTTGCATCCCTCGGAACCCGGACCCTGGGTCACATCCAGAGTGTCCACGAGCCCGCCGCCCACACAGTCCACCTTCTCCAGGGCCATGAGTGACAGCTGGTCCAGGGCGAAGCGAAGCGCCTCTTGGTGGTCCTCTTCCCGGGACTCGTGGTCCGTCTCTCGGGACAGACCGACCCCGTTGTGCTGGCTGCTGATCACCACGTCGTGGTCCATAATCTCGGGGTGGAATAAAGGGCTAGGCATAGTCTCTCCGTGGATCTCACATCAGATCGCAGATGCCTAATGGGAGTGAGCTCACCCTCTTCTGAAATAAAAAAAAACGAAAAACATTTAAAAAGTGTTTGTTTACAATTAAAACCCGAAACAGGAGCGGAGACGAGCACCGTTCCGCCACAAACAGCAGCGTGCGTTAGCGGTGTTGGTTTGGGCGCCTTGCTTTGTCTGTTGTTGCTTCTTGTCTGACAACTGAAGCCATCCAGGAGGCTGGCTGTTTTGTCAGATCGGGTCCGTTTTTAACACAAGTGAACAAAGTATCCATCCACACAGATACGAACAACCCGCGTGGCTCCAACTACAGACACGCATTTATGTACTGGTCGTATTAAAAAAACAAAAGAGGGATTTATTCTGCTGTTAGCTGTTAGCTAACAGGCTAGCTCAACATACTCGGCACTCAGTCACGTTGTCGACCCCTTTGTTTGGGAGCACCACGGCTAGCTGGTTAGCTCTGCTCTGACAGTCTCGTGCTCGTTCTAAAAGGCAACCGCGTGTTTTTTTTTAAATTAAACAAGTGCGAAAACAACATTAACTTACTTTGTCGACGAGATTCTGTCTTCGCTTGACGCCCAGTTTTTCGAGGGAAAGATGAGAAGCAGCCAGAAGCAGACCTGTGCGGTGCTAGGGCGCTAGCGGGGGAGCTAACTAGCACGCCAAACGGGGGGCGTAGGAGAAAAACGTTCAACGCCGAAGAGAGAACACTGTTGTTGTTTTTTTGTCTCTTTCTGGAGAGTCGAAGCGTATTCCTGGGTGTGTCACTGGATCTTCATTCTGCGTACCGTCAGGAGGACGGCAGCTGAAATCCAAGGTTAGCAGTTACCTTTTAGTTAAAACACACACATTGGCGCTCTCTCGCTCTCTCTCTCTCGCTCTCTCTCTCTCTCTCTCTCTCTCTCTCTCTCTCTCTCTCTGCTGCTGCCTGACCCCGGTCGGTCCGCCGCCTTTGTCTCGCCAGGCGCACGCCGCTCCGTCTCCCGCACACGGCACTGACGTCACCCGCGACACAACAATAGGTTCAAAGGCCACATGCAGCAAGGAGGGGGGAGGGCATCCACGGCCAAGTCACTTCTGCTGGCACTATTGTGTCTGGCAGTCTGCAGGGCAGTATTTCATCTCCCTGTCCTGCATGTTTTGCGACCCGACTGTTAACGCATTGATACACGTTTTTATAAATGTGGTCATATTTGGGTGTGTTCATCATGGCTACCAATGAAGTGCTTTGGGTGGTTCAACAGCAGCGTTAGATGGCGCTCATGCAGTCGGTGTGTTTTGCTTTCTAGGTAGTAAGAAAATAAAAACAATATAAAATAATAATCATGGGCAATATGTTCATGTCAAAGCTCTTAATTATTCTAGGCAACACATTTTCTTGCATCATGAGCTGAAAGGAATGAATTATAGGTTTATATATTTTTTTCAAATTGAAACAAAAATGAAATTTAAATACCAACAGTGGCAGAGTTAAATGTCATTGAAACTATTCATATTGACTGTGAAGACAGTCGGTCCTAAAATATATACATTTATTTTTTTGTACCGAGCTCTCTTTGTTGTCCCCAGGCAGTGTTTCCTTGCTCTTAAGATACAAATGGGGGGATTTATTAGATAGCATGTTTATGAGAATATCACTGTGTGTTATGTGCTTAATTTAACATATGTACTCTTAGCAATGAAGTGTTGGGATCTTTTTCAGCAGAAACGCCTTACCAGAGATAGGGGTCACACATTAGCCGTGGCGTGAAATATAAGCAACACATTTGTAACCTGTTACAATGATTAATGCATTGTCCCTGACACATACAGTTGCATTTAATAGTACTAAAAAGATTGTAACTCTGGAAGATACTAACTTATATTAGCTTTTGCTCAACAGATGTCATATATGTAGGCATGTGAATATTATATGAAGACTTGAACAATGTGAACCCATCCTTTACAGAAGAAGGGACCTTTTAATCACAAAATCTAAAAACATGTCCACCTACTACAAGCTCCTAGATTAAAAAAACAACAACTAAACACCAGCCATGAAAGAGCTGCATTTATTTCACAGTGGTATAGAGACAAATAATGATTTTTGTAATGAGGTACAGTACATCATGTTACGAGGTACATCAGTGTTTTATTGGTTTTTGTATTTTCTGAAGGTACACACTTTTTGTTACATATTAAACTCAAATGCAGCTGGCGAAACAGTACTGAAAAATCTTTTGTCAACACAAACATCGTGACTTAAACTTCAAAACCATGTAAACTCAAGTTATTGTGAGAAACAACACTGCTTTGAGCTGTAAAAACTTGAAATCAAACAAACTAAATGTGATTAGTCACAGCCACAACAGTGCCGTGTGCATGTAAACATACTGCAACCTTTCTATGCTTCCAAACGTAACACAATACCTGCAGTGCCAGAGTAAAATATAAAAGAGCAACGTGTCAAAAAAGAAACACACTTAAGACGTCAACATGAAAGGATACATTCAACACAAACGCACACAAGCGCGCACGCACACACACACACACACACACACACGCACATCAGGTTTGTGTTTTTGACTTTACTTTGAGCTTGAAAAGCTGTTTACTAACTGTAACACTGCATTGTGTAGAGAATCATCCACAACTGCTGCAAAACCGCCTTAAAAGTACAACCACTTACAGGAACAGTAATTTCATTTGACTCAATATAGTATCAATGGTGAAATGGTGATGTCATCGTGACATGAAAACGCTAAACAGAATGGAAAGTCTAAAGAAAGTCGCCTTACGTTAGTAGAGGTAAAAATGAACTGGAAATCCAAAGCACCCTTCCAGAATTACACTATTGAATGTAAAAAATAATAATAATAATAATAATATTAAAGAAAACAGTCTTTGTTTAGGTAAACAAAATCTGCAGAACGTCTGCATTTAGGGTCTATTTCAGTTCAAAGTGTATAAAAATCTTCATGGAGCCAATTATTTGAAAATGAAAGGAGTTTACCAGCAAACTTCATGTCAAACGAGCCTGCGGGAGAGAAGAGAAAGAGACACGTTAGATGTACTGAAGCTCATAACAAGACAATCAAACAGAGGAAATGGATGGACCAACAGAAGAGGATATAGCGACACTGGAACCTGTAGTTTTGTGTACCTTGGCTATAATTCCTCCTTGTCCACCTGCTCAACCTTCTCCTCCACTTTGTTGGCTGCTGCTGCGTCTGCAGTGGCGTCCTCTATGTGAGCCAACATATCAGCTGTGAGGGCTTCCTCGAGCCGCCTCCTCACATTCTGCACCAGGTCCTCCTGCTTCCTAAGAGACACAGACCAGGATCACTCTCGACTTATCTGCCAATCATCATCTTTCTTCGGTGTACAGAATGTCAGAAAATAGTGAAAACTGTCAGTTCCTCAAAGTCCAAGATGGTGTTTTTAAATGGCTTGTTTAGTCGGTTCAAACCCCCCAAAAGCAGGAAATCTCCATATCTGAGAGCCGGACATCTTCTGCCATTATTGCATGAAATATCGGTGGCACTTGTGTAAACAAAACTTTCACGGCAAAGAGTGTTGCGAGACAAAATCTGCCACAGTCGCCAATTTAGTCAGAACATTTACACGATAGAGAGTCAACGATACGATTATTTTGACCGTCTTAACCAAAGTCTCTTCATCTACCTCCACCAGTGGGTTAATAAGGTCCTTAAATAGATCTTCGTCACTGCAGAGTAGGTTACTCTCAACACTGCTGAGCACAATGTGTTGTGTATTTTATCATGTAGCAGGCATGTAGGTTTATCTTCTATCACAATATAGATCATATTATCTTTATCTTAATAATGATTTATATGAGAAAAAAAGGCATATTTTCTGTTAATTTAATAAATACTTTGTATGAAATGACCACATGGTAAAGCACTTTACTCATATCTGAATTTAATACTTCACAATGAAAAGTAATGAGTATTATCACAATTAATTTAGACATTTTGTGCAAAGTGAACGTAAGTTTCAAGACAATTGCAGAGAACAAAATAATAAATATATGCAGCTATACACGGACGATGTTTACATGCATGCACACACGTATGGAGTAGTCAGATTAAGACAATAGTTGGATTTAACTAATATGGGGTATTCCCATAAGCAGAATTCTTATCAATTCAGATGTTTTTGAGAAAGCTTAGTTAGTCTGTGCTTGTTTATCAACTTAGACGATGCAATTGTGTATAACGATATCGAGATATAACGATTTCATCACGATATGATTCCACTGAAACACGATAAAGTATCATTGAATTAATCGCTCTACTTTACAGGAGAAGTGACAAAAACACAAAACCAGCTTGCTAGTTATTTAAGTTGAGTGTAGCTCATTTAAAGCTTGGTGCTGTTTTCTCAGGCAGAGGACGGACGTACACTCTCTTCAGTATGTAACAGCAATAACAACCGTTTCACTAGTTCAGCAACTCAACATGATAACCCACAACTAACAACAGGCAAAACATGTTACACCACCGTGTTACTACATTGGACAGCTTGAATAGCCAACTTAAAATGTGAGACCAGCGGTGGATTCAACCGTGGTGTTCGGGAGATGCTGTGACTTAAACCAAGAAAGAGTAGAAGAGCTATGAGTAAGGAAAACTCTGCTAGGCAAATGTATGCAGTGTTGACGGCTGAATCGTAGCTGAATTGTGAGGCCAGTGAAGATTCACTTCTCTACGCTACAGTGAGGGAAGCTGCAGCCGTGCTGCTGGTGTGAACATCTTACCTGATGTCATCGTCAGTCACCACAAAGGCCTTGCAGAGAGGTTGTGATGTGTTGAGCCAGACCCCCGGGTTTTTCTCCACAGCAGCAGTGAGTTGTCCAGTGACAGGTGAGGGGCTGGTGTGCAGAGCACTGGCGATGGCAGAAAGAAGCGTTTTATCTGAACACGCAGGCCCAACACCTAGAAAGAGGACAACAGGGAAGCATAAGTCAAGCAAAAAGTCACTGCTTTGAATCACACAATGTCGTCACGTTTGTTATGGTTACTCTCACCCTGTAAGCCTTTGGGAAGATCCATAGTTTTCACCAGCTCCTCTGCGATATCAAATGCATTCAACCCGCCCAACTTCCTCTCCCAGAACAACTGACGATCGAAGCAAACCAAAAATACTAAAATCATTTCCGTGTTATGTTTCGAGCGTTGTTTTCCACAAACTGAATATGTGAATCGTTATATAATGTATTGAAAAAGCACTCTCTAAATAACAGCAAAGACACAATACAGAACACCAAGTTTCATATTGGTCAACATGACAGCTACTTAGAGGAACAATTTCATTTGACTTTTTTATAGTGTTAACGAATGAAAGAACTTACTTGTTTGGGTTGGTCCACAGCCTTCTGTGGGTCGGTCTTCACCTTGTTGTTGGGGTGATTTGTAACCTTGGTCACGGGTTGTTTGAAGATGGACGCCGTCTGTCGAACTGGTAGTGTTGTGTTTAAATCAGGCTTGTTCTTTGAGAGAGACGATACGACAACTTTGTTACACACACACGTTGCTGTACAAACCTACACAGTTGTATGACTGAGTTATTGTTTCATCAGAACAGAACAGGAGGTACTGTGGCATCCCTTCATTACTCCCATGGAGTGTGAAGAGACGATGTAAACATTACAATGAACTGGGACAATTATTATGATTATGAGCAGTTTGAAAAAAAAAAAAAAAAAAAAATGTCCTTCAGCAGCAGAAATAAAAGGCTGTGATGATGTCACCGTTTTACAAAAGCACTGGATATCCCGAGGCAGTACAGTCATCAGTTAATCATAAAACAACGTCTGTGGGAGCGGTTTAACAGCAAGGGAGGCAACAACACGGTCTATTGTAACTCTGAAGGAGCTACAGGTTTCCACTGCTAACATTTAGATCTGTCCAAAACCATTTGCTACCTAGTAAACTATATATAATGTTTAAATTCTAACACAATATATATGCATATAGTCATGTTAGGAATCTCGATGTAAAGCTCACTAGAGTAAACTAATTAATGTGTATCATGTGTAGACCATAGTAACTGTGTACACCACAAATGTTGCCTGGGCCATTCAGTTCTTTATGAAACAATGAGACTTAAACTGAGCTATTTGGCCGTACTATTAAAACTTAACTTTATGTTTTGGGTTCAAAGCCAAACTGTGGATGTGTCTTGGAGACACTGAGTCAATCCAAAATGTGTGGCAGGTCCACGTGGAACGTGGGCATGAGCAGGTTTACACGGAAGAAGAACTTCAGTGTCAAAACGTACAAAGCTGACACGAACCTTTGGCTGTAATCATTGCCAACTGTGCCTCCACGGATTACTTTGGTTAACTTTAAAATTGAAATATATATTGCGTCATAAAGTTAAATTAAAACCCCAATCGATTTAATTGTGTAAAAACAATAACATGAATATATTTTATCGGTCTAAACACTAATTTAACGGTCATTCGCGCTCATAAAAACCAAAAGCAAACACATTCTCACCCTGTTTTGATGGTTGATTTCGTACAGATTCTTGTGCCTGCTGCGCTGCACTTTGGTCAGGAGCGACCATCCAGCCCGGGAGTGGCTGGCATTCACATCTGGGTGAAGGCTGCCGCCCAGACTGCGGACTATCTGGGGCTTGTTGAGGATGCGCTTAATAGGTACACTGGAGAGAGAAAACACAAGAGCTGTCATCGCAACGTTCCCCTCTTCAATACCTGAGGCATTGAAGCACTTAAGGCACCCATACATGGCTTCTTAGTTATTCTAAACGGTGGGGGCCGGCCGTCGTTTTGTGTTGGGGACACTTGCAACTTTAAAAATAATCAAAAGTTGTAAGTTTTCCTACATAACAAGGAGTCAGGAAATGTCAGGCAAACACATCTGCACACGCCCACAGCTGCTGATGTAATTAATCAGCCACAGTAGGTGTGGGTGCTCTCTGCGTGTAGGTGGAGCTTTGAGGTAGAGTAGCGATGACTCTGTACCTGTAATACAACAGGCTGCCTCCTTCCAGGAGTGAGCTCACTAACGTTACTCAGACGGGGGGTGGTTCACAAACGGATAAGAACTACACACGAGGCGGCATATTCTTAATTACCTACAAGTTTTTAACAAGATAACCGAGCTGCAGCTGATGTTTTATAGCGCACGCTCAAGACTGGCGCAGACGCGCCGGGGCCCAACGCACCGCAGGTCATGCGTGTGTAAACAATGAAACTTAGCTAGCTAATCAAGCTAGCAGCGTTGGCAACGTCAACGTACCAGCGACCACATTATCAATGACTATTGTTCAAAGTTGCAAGTTTAGAAACTTAATTAAGTCAAGACGAGCTAAAGCCTGCGTTTGGCTAACGTAACAAAAGTGTAAATAACACAGACTTGACAATTAGCTTAGTGTTGTTCTAAACGCATGTATGCATGCGTGCATTTCCTGCAGAGAAACTTTCATCTTAAGTCCTTCGACTGAGCGGGTTTTAAAGTCTCACCCTTTTCTTTCCATGGTCTTGGTTGTCTTGGTTTGCTTGTCCGGTATTCTGGCTTGTAAAAGATCAGAAGCCAGCTAGCTGCCTATTGTTGCAGTCATAATTTTTCACCGAGTCTGGTTTGTTATCGATCCACTGCCTGTCTCCCGTCAGGACCTTTACAACTGCAGATCACTCCGCCAGAGGGCCTTGTAACACAATGAGCGGAAGACATCCGCGACACTCCTGTAAAAATAGTCCGAAAATGACGCGCAGGTCACAAAGGATCTGTTAGCTGCACACTGTGAGAGATGGAAACTAACTCATATTGAAGTAAGTCTATTTTATTAAGTACCGTACTTTGTACAGTTGAGGTTCTTTTGTACTAAATTTAAGAGAAATAATTTTACTTCCCAACACAACTTTGCAAACTGAGCAGTTGCACAATAAAAAAACACTGTAAATATATCTAAATTAAACTGAGTAAAGTAGTTGACACAACCTGGACCTGGCTAAAATTTTAAAATTAAAATGCTGCTCAAACATTAGTCAATAACTTATATTTAAAAAAATCATTCCGTATGAGTACTTTTACTAATATTATTTACTACATTTTGCTGCCAACTAGGTCCTTTTTGTGGAATTTTATCCCAGGACTAATACCAGTAATGGGCTCACTTTACATTATTGCATAATATTTACTTTGCAACCTGCAGTTACACTTGGAAAAAGTCCAAGACTTTTGTATGAAAAAAAAGTAGTCCCACCATCTAAAAATTTAAATTCAGTATAGGAACAATCATCTCTCCCAGATTGTTTGGCTGCTCTGTTAATACACGGACACATGTTCTGATGATTTCCAAGGGCTTGTTTTGCCTGTTAACACCTTTATTATTATTATTATTATTATTATTATTATTATTATTCAAGCCTTTGTTATGATCAGCTGTAGTTTTTAGGTATATACCCACAAATCAGAGGCTTAATTCAGGATTCTAAATGACTATCTCCTTGATCTGACCAAACGTTAAGTCCAATCAATGTGTACTGGGCTGCATTCAGGATACAAATATACTTCAGCTTAATTTAACTTAATATTGAATCATTACAAGTGAAAATTATACACAACCACGATATAGGATACATCTCACATACTTTACTTCTCTTCAAAACAATTAGTGTGACATGAAGGACAGCGTTTTTCTACTTGTGAATCAGGTGTGACACACATGAGAATGATAAAATAAATACCTGACCCCCCCGACTAAGTAAGAAAAGAAAAGAAAAGTCCATTTATCGTTGGTGTTTTCATATTCCTTCCATCCAAGTTGTCGCTGGTTGAGGAACTTTGAAATGACTCCGGTGCATTTCATGTGGCGATGGTGAACAGTTCAATGTTGACTGAGCTGCAGGATGAAGGCCTGGCACGCAGAGCGGGCTGCAGCAGTTCTTCTTCATTATTGAAGTCAAAAAACAGCACCGACCTGAGTGTGGAAAAACACAGTCATTAGTTTAACAGAGTTTAACAGTAGAAATGTGGTTTTGCTGTGACAGACAAATCAAAGCTGGATGTAAAGTTAGCAAGTTCAGTGGAAAAACGTTACGCTTAGTGACACTGACGAGACCATTCGTTCATAAATTATGCACTTTGATGCTTTTTTTGTTTTGTCTTTTTATCACATAAAAAAACTCATTCAACATCAAACACAGTTTGTGAACTTTATTGGATTTGTAGGTTATACATCTACCGATTTTGACATTTTCAAGCCAAATACCTAAGCTGCAGAGTGGTTGACTGTTTAAGAGACATTCCGGTCCTAATAGAAGCTGCTACACATGGTCTTAAAATAGACCACTGTCCTGGATTCTAGTCCCCCGACACCTCTAAACTACCTGGCATTCTGTCTCTGAATTTCACTTTGTCGTTTCCTCCGTCCTGACAGTTTCCTGGGACCCGTTCCATAAAGCCAGAAGCCAGTTGACCAAATGAGTGAGGCTGATTTCAGGTAGTCTGACTCATTTTCAGTTGATTCGGTTCCATAATGCAAATTCAACATCGGTCACGCTCAGTTACTATGAAAACCTCTGCTGGGAAACTGACCTGGTTTGGAGTTGTTGTCGAACCAGAGTTTCTGTAACACCGACCTGACAGGAAAGCAGTGATTTTACCACCGACTTTCTGGCGCGCTGACATATTATTTTGACTTTCTGAACCACTATCAGTTAATAGAAAATCTACTGAAATAAACTAAATTATTTATACAATGATAAAAGATAAGCTATAGACCCACATACTTGTTTAATTATATAGTATGAGATATCAAACGTTAAGGCTTATGCAATATAAAATAAGTCTCAATCTAAATTACCCCAATAGAATGATAAGAGTTAATAAAGTTTACCGTATAATTGTACTATCCTAGATAGAAAAAAAAAAAACGTTTAAAAATATGCTGGTTACTAGCCACACAGCATTTTCACCAGCCACAAATTCATCTTTGGGAAATTATGTTTTTATTTGATTCAAGTTAACTGGTGTGCTACGATTTTCTTTAAGAATGAGATTTACAACCCTTTTAAATGTCAATGACCGATATGAACACCTCAATCAACACTAGTCATAAAATAAACAATACTACAGTCATAAAATAAATAACACTAGTCATAAGATATTCAGCTCGGATAAAGCTGTGTGTGAAAAGCGCCCGTTACATGAAAAAGGATCCTGGTCTTTCTGATCTTTATGTCTTATGAGATGTCAAAGTAGAGACCTGGCATTTAGAGGATTTACATTTCAAAAAGTACAAGCTGCCTCTCGGGTCGGAGTCTAACGTTACACCACGCAGAGAACAACCGAATGTTCAGTCGACCTCAACTAAACCACATAAACTTCATTGTGAAGGTGTTTGTGAAGCAAATTTCCCTCATATTTCCAAAACTTTCTGGGTTTATATATTTTAACAAAACTTCTCCAGGCCTGGAAATTGACATTTTAGAAATTCCTCGACTATTTCGGGTTTTTCACGACCCTACCAACCCTGCATGTAACATGTGAAAAGACTCAACATGGAATTTCGTTGCATCGTCGAACACACAGTCATCTTTAATGCTGCAGGTAGACTGGTGTGTTAAATCATGTTCAACCCTGAGAATTTGTAAACGGGTGGAAAAATAATTCATAAGTTCATTTATATGAAGTGTTGAAGCAAAGAGTCTAAACATATACTTATATACTATTCTAAAATAACAGGTTCTGTACAAACAGAATGATTTGCAAACAATCCTAAATGTGTTTGCTTTTTAATTATATTTATGAATATCTAATTCTTGTTATAGATGATTGGAAATAGATAGCTGCAGAGCATTTTAAATTAACACCACATGTAAGAACTGAGAGTCTGTATAGTTGTAGAAGCCAGTCTAACTTATACAAAGGTTGAAAGTGAAAAAAGATACAGTAGCTGCAGAAATAATGATGCTGACCAAAATGTCCAGATTCATCACATGCTGTTACACCTCCTGTCTTATGTCTGTACACATCTCTTTGCCGTTCCTCGAGACTAACCTGAGTGTCGCTACTCGTCCTTCTTGAATTTGCCACTGATGTATGGGACATAACCCAAAATCAATTCCCAATCTGTGAAGTGGACCAGAGCCACGCCTCCGACTGTGCCCCAAACCGCCATGGTGGGGATCCTGTGGAGTGAAAACATTGTCAATGTGTACATATTTAAAATTGATTTACACTTAATGAATATGATCTGTGAAGACACACATTCATTCTATGGACAAACACCAAGCACACTGTAAACTGACTAGTTAAGACTGAAGTGTTTGAGTAATGTATGCCAACAATGAGTGACTTTAATCTTGATAGTCATGTGCTTTGTTTATTATGTAAAAATAGCAATAGATTTGCTGGTTAAATCTTTATCAATACAAATATGAAGAGTTAGATATCACATCAGTTACCTTGTTAGACTGTGTACACATTTAAAATGCATCATTTTGACCCAATACCCGACTCTAGTCTAGACTAAACAAATTATCTTTTTGACTAATCTATAACTAAACTAATAGCTCTAGTCCTTCCAGTGAGATCAGTAAGTCAGCTATCCAGTTGATTAACTTAAAATTGAATTCACATTTTTGCTGTGATCAAGGAACAACAATGACAGTCATTGAGGAAAGGTAACGCTGACTTTGTTTAGTTCGTTATAACAGTTCATTTTAGGTAATCATAGAGTTCAGCTGACAGGAGCTAAAGTCTGCATGTCCCCAAAGCTATGACCTCGGCTAAGCTAACAGCTAGCTAATATTAGCGAAGGACACATCATGATCCTGTTGACCGAAAGTCTTCCGCTTTCTACCACCAGTACAATATAAACAGCACATACCATGATTTGGCAATGGCCACATACTTTGCACCGACCACTTTACTGATCATTTCGGCTGAATTATGTCCTCCACAAAACGCAGGATGCGCCGATTTAAAAGCTGTAAAAGAACTTCCGGTTTGACTACGCCTAGTGCGCATGTGCAATGTACGTGGACTACTTCCGGTTACTCGAGAAACACAAGTTACAAAATTAAAAAATTGATTAAATTGAAGAGCAACTCGTAGCATTTGTACCCATTTTTTGTCACATTGGGGGAACTGTTTTTAAAATACATTTGTTCACCTTTATTATTTCAGTTAAGATTTCCCTACATGGTGCTTATTTAAAAATATATGCGTTTATTCAAACTAATACATATTAATTTACACACAGAAAACCAGGTAGTATTTCCAGCAGAGCAGTGACGATTTGTTTGCAAGGCTCTGAAAAAAATGTGTATTCAACTGAGTGCAGTGTATTATTATTATTATTAGCAGTGTGTGTTTGTGAGTGCAGCTCATTTCTGCCCCATAGCGGGCAGATCAAGCTATGACCCAGCTAGCCATGGAGCTACCCGATGGGTCTGTCCCAGTTGGCTAAACTCAATTTCACAAACAGAATATTGACTGGGTCGGTCGCTACCACGAAGCAGGATTTGGGGTTTTCAGTTCCACGACAGAGGATCACTTCTTACCGGGATAGACCACCATGGTATCCTGCTCCGGAACAGATTATGCGGGAGATAAACTGGTATAAAAACACCGCCTACTGACCAATCAAAGCTTAGTACGTGGATCGTAAATTAACATCACACAAATACAAATAATATAAAGTCATAATCCAGAAAGCAACACAGTTTAGACAGACACATGAAAAAAAGACAGCTGGCAATAAATCGCCGATTATGTAAATGATTAAATTAACAGATTTATAATATCACCGCTTCATCTAGAGCACGATATCTGACTATACATCTGTTAAATTAATGTGTTACAGATGTATTCTGATGGCGAGTGAGTCAATATTTTAGCCGTAATATTCAGCTGCAACCAGCACTGTGAAGCAGGCTTGGGAGCAACAACAAAATAATCAGTATATATTCTGTCATCATATTTTCACTTATGCGTGTCAGCTTCTTGAGCCAGGGGACATGTCGGAGTCGTGGATGCAGTGTTACTTTGCGCCGGTTACCTTTATGAATGATGTATAAGTTATGAATGGAAACCTTACTGCTTAGAATTATGTTTTAAAATATGTTTTTTATTCGCTCCCATGTCTGTTTCACACCGCCGGGGTTGCAGCTGAAGAAATGCGGCAAAAATAGTGTCCCACACGCCATAAGAATACCTCCAAGCAACACAATAGTAGTAATACGAACATACTGTATAGTTAGTCAGCTCTTCTCGTGCTCTCCCGGTGACCATTTCCCGTTAAAAAGACGGTTTAAGCAGTGATATTATAGATCTGACAATTTTCGTGGTACAGGTTGCATTGCAGAAAGAAAAATGCACATGTAATTTTTATTCATGGGTTGAAAAAAAGACATTGGATAAACGTGGTGTTTGTTATTAAAAATGGCACATTTATTGCTACATTACTGTTATATACACAACAGTTCTCTATATCTACTTTATATATAAAAAATAGGAAACTGGAGGCACTTTGAGGACATAGCCTACATAGATGTTGTCCCCAAACATGAGTGAAGACAGAGAGATTTGTAGCAGGTCATCTGTTGTAGAGGACAAAAAGGGTCTGTTAACAAAGGATATCAGGTGCATTTTTGATCCTTGGATACTGCAGACATATCTTTCATGTGAAGAAATAAAAGAACAAGTCTTTAGTAGAGATTTTTCATATCACAACAACACCACGTTTTTTTTTCTGCAGAAAGGTTAGAGTGACTTGACAAAGAAAATAAGGGTTGGGGCTAGTCCGAGGGGCAAGATTTGGGATAAAATGACAGGTAGAAAACCAAATACTGTTACATATCAGTACCAGCTTATAATGATAAAGCTGATATATCACAGCTGTACATACATATCAATGCACATGCCAGTCAAGGACAAAATTATACTTAACAAAATCAGTACATAAAAGATGAAACATATTAAGTAGTTTTCAGCGTCAAAGTTGAAGACCGGGTTATTAGTCATCTTACATTTAATGACACACACACTGAAGCAGTCAGCATGTGCGATTCTTCATTTAGATGTTCTGAGACACTGTCAGATGTTACTGAAGTATATATGTTTTTATACATCTGTAATATAAAAAGGTACAACCTATAAATCATCAAATGCAACATCATCCACCATGTAGCAGAGAAGTATTCAGGCACTGGTGAGTAACCATTATCAAAACTCCCAAAGTCAGGAAAATGACTAAGGCCACCCTATTTGATTCATTTTATGCTTCATATCATTATGAAACAGTGAATTGTGTTGCAGATTGTGCAGACCTCCCCCTCTGCCCCCTTTCCCCAAACTAATCAACAAGCTCCTCAGAGAGCTGGGCATCCGAGGAGAGCGGAGGGGGAGTGTGCTGAAGAAAAATATTGTGTTTCATTTAAGAAAAAAAAACTGTCGCAAACACCAGAACAATCCAATTACAACTGGCATGACAGGTTTGTTTTCAAACATGCATTTAAAAAAAAAAAAGAAAAAAAAGAGAGAGAGCAATATCACAACATGTGATGTTACAGCCAGATAAGTTTGTCATTTCTAACATTTCTAAGCACCTGGCACAAAAGAAAACACCTCACTTTGTTCCTGGAATCTAAATTGAGAGTCGTCTTACATTTAAACAACGTAAACAAAAAAAAGAGAGCATTCCAAAAATGATAAAAACAGAACTCATACAACTATCTTACAAAGTAAAAAAAACAAACCAATAAAAAACAATGATAAATCAATTCTACAAAAGGAAGATCCTTACAACAGGCTTTGCAATTGTTCAAAAGAAGGGGATAAAAACAAAAAAAAAAACACCAAATGCTCAACACAGCAACAACCAAAACAAGTCCGAGTGAATTCTCTACAGGAACACTCATGATCCCTTTCAATGCTCAATTATTTCTCTCTTCTAGCAAAATGTGATTTACCAGAATACAGATTGCTCAGAGACTTAAGTTTAGTAAGCCCACCATGCTGTAACAGAGTCTTTAGGTATGATGTGAACCGGGGCAGGCTGAGAGTGACTTCATGATGCTGGGCAGTGAGAATGACATCTATACGCTGGAGTCCAACCTGTCGGGCGGTGCAGGAGCACATTTGACTCACCGTCACTGTGGCTCCTGGATTCGGAGCGAGTCTTTGCTTGTGTCTCTCTCCAGCAGTTGCCACAGTTAAAAAAAAAGGAACAAAAGAATAACTCACATGTGAGTCGGTGACTGTGGCTCCTTTTTTGAGCCAAACCCAAGAAATAAAATTAAAAAAATGACATCCAGAAATACCAGCATACCACAAAGAAAGGAGTCTCTGACGTCTCCAGACCTACCTCTGTGATTCAGTCATTACGTAAGAAGATAATAACGATGGCTATCTTATCTTAATGAAACACTATGCATTGGGCCTCATTTGGGCACATGTTTAAACAGGTTTTGTTCAATCATAAGATATAAACCCGGGTGTCCCTCTTTGCCTGTGAAGAATGTAAGACCTGCTTTTCAGATGGGAATGCCAATAATCATCCAACAATACAAATCCTAACTCTGCTTACACAAGCAGTTGATCCAAAGGGTTTCATTTGATCCAAACAAGTTTTGCTCCCAACATGTAAAGCAATTTTTCAAAATGTCTTACAAAAACATGATCATAAGAATGTCCTTATGTCCAATTTTCCACTGTCTCCAAACCGGTGTCCTCGGTTCAAAGTGTTGTCTTGTTAAGATTAATACATTTTCCCTCTTCCTGTAAGAGTGTGCTTGTTACTTTTGTATTCATAGTCAGGAATGTGGCCACCTGCTTTGTCAGTAATGAGGTGTGTGCGTGTGTGCTTTCCAAAAGTTGATTAACACACACTGAGATGCATGACAATGATAGATTAAGGCCACGTGTTCTAAGGGCTGTACAATCAACAGGAACTGGAAGGGAAAGGAGAAAAGAGAATGAACGTTTTTTTCCACAGAATACAAAACAAGTTATTGTTCATGATGTTATTGCAGCACAAATCACAGTACAAACTCTGTAGACTGACCTGAGAATCACATATGTCCATCTCCAAGACCAGGGTGACCCCCGCCAAGCTGCATCTGGGGGTCAATGCCTGACACTTTCTCCTCCTCTCTCCTCTTGAGGCAGGCGGCCTTTGGGTTCAAATTACGCTCTTTGAAGAAAGGACCAAACACACAAGTTAAAAACAGTAAGGGAAGAGGACTAGGAATTCTTGAGATTATATCATTATGCTTCTCCCTTAGAGATCTTTTAAGACATTAAAGCAGAGTTTTGAACATAAAAAAAAGGGTCAACAGCAGACGGGGAGAACAGAAAATGGGAAAAGCAAGACAAGAAAATGAAAAGAAAGACGAGAATTGCAGACGTTTGGCAGAAAAGCAGGGATATACTTCCTCAAATAGTCTCCCCTTCTTCTCCATTTTTCTAAATTTTTTTTCAAAGTGATACGAGCAAACAGCAAAGAGAAAGCCAAAGTGAATGCCACACAGTAAGTACGATCAAAATCAAAGAGGAGATGTCCCTGTGGGTGAATGACTGGCAACTTGTCCAGCTATGATAAGAGATGGTTGGTTGTCTATGTGGATCAGACCTTCCTGTATTGGCTGACCTACCTCGCACCTGCTTCTCCAGGCCCATTATGACCTGGACAGCCTGCTGCAGGATGATAAGCTTGGTCTGGGCCTTGTCACTCTGCATGTGGACCTGAACCATCCTGCCCAGATCTCTGAAGGCTTCGTTAATGTCACGCACACGCACCCTCTCCCTAGTGTTGTTAGCGTGGCGCCGCTCACGCTCCCTCAGCTCCTTCTCCTCGGCAGTCAGGTTCTCATCGGCAACACTGCAGCCAGGAGGAGAAGTGGGGGTTGGAGGGGCTGGTTAACAAACCCAAATGACATCCCTGGCTGAACCTGGGCTAGACGTTCTCCCTCTACCCGCAGTTATACAGTCTTAAGCCTATGATATGACTTTTAACTTGTTTATTGAAGTTTTCCTACACAGAATCCTGGTTTAGTTGTTACATTTTTTGTTTTGTTTCTTTATGCATGATGCTAATTTTCAAGCTCTACACCCAAGATGAGAACAGTGGAGTTGCTGAAGAAGATCCCAGTCGAGTAGGGCTGTGTAGGAGAGCGAGCGGAGGGAACAGTCTTTTCGCAGATCTACAGATATAAATAATAAATAATACATACTTTGCAAACATGAATGAACGTAATGTCAATCAAGTGTTGTGGGTTGACCGAGCGCGACACCAAACGATCTCAAACCAAGACACGACGGTCAACCCGAGCGGCCCGGGTCTAATTACTCTGTCCTGAAATCTAACCAACCAACATTTCAATTTGGTCATTGAGGTCCAGGATGGAAGTTGAGGGGATTTGGTGACTGTCCAGCAGAATGAGAGAAGTTATGAGGAGGGAGAGAGAAAGGGAGAGAGAGAGGAAGCAACACCCTCTGCCAACATAGAAAGAGCCACAGTAGAGAGACACAGAGACGAGAGACTGAGGGCATCATGTTAAATACATCAGCAGTAGATGTATTTATCGGAATGGGAGGAAGAGGAGGTCCCTGTGGATATCTGTAAAAAGAAAATGACAGAGGACAGGGGAGTGAATGAAGAAGTGAAAAGGTTTGTCTCAAAAAAAAAAAAAAAGAAAAAGGGTGAATGCTTTAAAGGCTGTGACATGCAGCACAGAGACAGACACTGCAACAAAGCTGAAGACAGGTTAATGCACAAGACTACCGACAGCCCTGCGTTCATGCTAACCGGGGTGCCAGTGAACAGACAGGTACACTATGTGTGAAAGGTTTAAAAAAACAAAAAAAAAAAACGTGAAATTATGAATTTGCTTAATGAGGCAACAGTGGAGAAAGCAAATGAGCACATAAAGATGCGTTACTACAGTCAGAGGGTAAGGCGGAGAGACACATAAGCATTTTCACAGTGGAAACAGACGGCCAATTATGAGACATGGCAACACATACTGCATCAGGACAAACAGCAGTCCTGTATGTGTTACCAGAGGACGAGAACCTTAGAAGATGAACAGGACAATGGGCATGTCTTAAAAACAGTCACACAGCCTAATTTCCTTATGCTATGCCCTCACTTTAGTGAGACGTTTTATGGACTGAAAAATGTGCTTTGACTCGCTGGTGTTAAGTGGGGACACCGGGCCTCATTCACAAACTGTACGCACCATTCTGTGCTTAAACTGTGAGTACCAACGCTTTACGCTCAAATCCAGGATTCATCATGACGTCGTTCTTACTCTGCCGACAAATCTAGAACCGTCTCAGACCGACGAAGGCCCGGCCGGCTGTCTGCATCTCATACCAACACCACATTCATTAAAAAAGGCTCCAATAGACTTTATTTAAAACCCTTAGTTTACCAATGCATTGGCCAAATGTATTAACCAACCATGAAACTGACGCCCTTTCATCCTGATCAATTATTGTCATAATTCAAATATATTGTATATTTCTAAGCTCTATTGAGGTTTCAGAATGAAGGTTTGACTCACAGGAGTCGGAAACAACGCAGCGACCGCTGGAATCCAATTCTACAAATAGTATAATACTAATAAGATTAGTTTAGCCTGATCTTTATCTGCAACTGTGCCAAATACAGAATTACAAGTATGAATAGACGCTTCGCAGCATTGAAATGTTGATTTATAATTGGAATGTCAACGTTATGATTAAAGCTTCAAAGTATTTGGTTCAGCACTTATGTACCAATTATGAACAAATTACATCTTGGTGAAAGTCACTTTCACCCTCGTTTTTTTGACATATTCCACTTATGGATTATTACAAATCAGATGGTCCTTGTCCTCCTCCACCTGTTCCTTTATTTTTCTTCATAAACTTTAATATTAAACCATTTATTATTGTTCTTTACCTGAGCCCCACACTCCGTCTCTCAGGGGACACAACATTCAACACCTGTTTTTATCTCCGTCACTCCCGTGGAAACGCTTTGTAAAGGTGTGCCTTTTCTGCCTTCCACGTCAACACATTATATCGATGTCTATAGTAGTTTGTATTTTTTTAATCTTTGCTTCTCTCTTTTACAACATCACTTCCTCCATGATAATCCTCCAGACTAACATATTTCCTTATTTAGAGAAATGAGGATGTGGCAGTATGCTGATTGCGGGCACGCGCCTGGCAGGTGAGCACACGTCATGAATCCGATGGTAATTTTACACGTGCACTCGTTTTCTTCACCGCGTGAGAACATTTCTACGCATATATTAGTGAATGAGGCCCAATGTGTTTACCAACACAAGTGGAGTCAAATGAAGTACCACAAGGAATTTCAAAAAGGTTTGAAATAAGGACATGAAAGGAGCTGGGAAGTGAAGCCGTGTGGGAGTTTGATTCTGTAAAGGAGGCCCTTCCCCTCCTCTTCCTTCCTCCCTGGACACCCACTGACCTCGAACTTGCTGCTCCAGGTTGAGTATAACGTTAACAGCCTGTTGCAGTACGATCAATTTGGTCTGCGGTTTCTCGTGGCTCAGATGGAGCTGACACATGCGGCCCAGCTCCTTAAAAGCCTCGTTGATGTCCCGCACACGTAGTCGCTCGCGGGTGTTGTTTGCCATCCTCCTCACTTTCTCCCGCTCAGCCTTAACCTCCACTGGTAGATCTTCATCGTCTTCCTCATCATCCAGACTAGCAAAGAGCCAATGGCAGATGAGGCGGAAATGAAACAAAAGTATGCGTACAGTTCACTGATGATAAGTTTCCAATTATGGTGTGAAATATGTTTTCCTAGTAACGTCAACTCCACATGTAGAGGGATACAACTCCGGAGTAATTTCATGACAATCACAAACGCTGCTACAAAGGCTGGTAACATTAGGGTTTGGTCTTGGCAATTTGTCAGTTTTTGACCAAATAGCACCAGGAACAATGGAGAAGGTAACTTCATTAACAATGAAACTCGCTAACAAACAATAGCATGTAAGATAATGTGATCGACAACTGTAGCAGTGTTTTGTTTTTTGGTCATTTAATTACTTTCAGGTTGAAATCCCGTTGCATGAAGAGTTGATCTTGTTTAAACTTAAAAATCTTTTGTCTGTACCGTTGCCTGCTAGATTAGTGCATTTTCTGTTCATGAACCTTTATATCTGATACAGATGTTACGCCTGCAAGGATGTCAGATTTAGAAAAGGAGTTATCTTTTCACTCTGCCACAACTCTTCTTGGATGTAGATTCAGATTTCTGGTCTCTGACAGTCATATTTGGTTATGTTGTTTCCTCTTTAATTTACACTTTTTAATGTAAAAGACAGCTCCAGCTAGTATGTTAATGAATCTTTTAACAATCCAGATAAAGCAGATTTAGTAATATACATATATAAATAAAACTTGTCAGTCTCTCTTACCATGCAAGAGAAGACTGGGGCGCAACTGAAGTCCTTTCAAAATGAATTATTGCCGTTTTGATTTTGTTGACTTGAATAAGAGACTCACTATAAAGAATCCTATCTAGAAAGGTTGAAAGACCATTTTCTTGACACATATTATACTTAAACCACAGCAGCATGTTATGCCATGAAATCTCATGCAGTGATAAAGGAGTATAAATCTTGTGTGGAAAAAAAGGTTTTGGACACCTTGTTCCCAGGCGGGCCTTCATCTCTTTTTTCTCATCCTCTGACCTGTCGGTGATTGAGCAGTTTTCATCGTCCTCCTTGTCCTCTCGTTTGATATCAGAACCACTGGAGCGCTTCAGGCTACCAGACAGGCCTGCACCGGGAGTTCAGAAACAATGATACCAGATAAGATAACGTATAGAACCCAACAAATATTAATTAACCTCCAATGTTGGCAAAGAACTACCGTCCCTTCTGACACGAGAATAGAAAACAACAGATAGATTCACCTGTGAAACCTTCAGGCTGAGAGCCTGGCGGGACAGATGTGGGGCCGTGGTGACCGTGCATAAGACCCCCACTAGAGGGCAGACCAGCAGAGTCCTCATGGAGGCCAGACATCTTCAGGACAACAATTAAACAGCGTTTCAATGACCTTGCAAGAAGTTTGAGGTACTAGCAGAAGAGCAACAAAACAGGTATACCGCTCTCACACTTTAATTTAATTTAATTTGAAATACCACATTTGATTTTGTCAGTTGTGGATAGATTTTCTGTGCCGCTATCAATTAATCTCACCAGTCCAGGCAGGCGACTGGCCAATCCAAGTGCTGCACTGGTGAAGCCTGGAGGTAACCCTAAGCCAGACGAGAGCAGATTGTGCATCTCAGCCAGGCCTGGCACTCCTTGTCCGCTGGCATGACGCTGTAGAACATTGATGGCTTCGTCCAGACGGTCCTCCATTTTGCTCGGCTACAGAGAATGAAGAATACGGACGATGAGACGGCAGAAGGCTACGCACGAAGGACTGTAGCATCCTGTATTTGCCTCTGTGATTTAATTCAACAATCTTTTGTTGCATCTCTCACATGACAAAGAAAAGACATGTTGACTCACCATGGACTGAATTCCACCCTCAAAGTTGGGTGAAGGTGTGGCCTGGCCAGAGGACCGAGTCCACTGTGATGCAGAGCCTAGAAAGAAAAAAAAGATCACATGGTTTTGCTGAGTACATTTGCCCCTCATTGCCCGATACGGACGTGTTAACACATAAGCAATACCCCACGCTCAGTGTTGGATGTTTGATGATACTCTATCTAAAAACGGACATTGTCCCCGTGTTCACAGGGAGATGAGCGCTGGATTGGTCAACAGGAACCACGCCTGAAAATAAACTTTTCATGTCTCACTAAAAACACACTACAGAGTAGATGATTGATGCAACTAAGGCTTAAGCTTGTCGCATCATGTTGGTCAAATGCTAAAACAAAAACAACCCTTTATATTAATTGTCGTACACACACACACACACACTGGGTTAAATGCAGACGTCAATACTATCCGATAGTATTTTAAACTATTTAAACTTAAATATGAATCAAATCCATCATTTCAATGAAAAGTGTTTTTCATTTCGACGATCATCATCTTTTCCCACATTGGTTCTTCTCTCACCTCGTGCCAGCAGCAGTATTTGACGAGTGGGACGAGGTCACTGATGGACTCAATGCAGAGACAAATGGGGAAGTGTGACCCCACCCCATTTTACATGTTTACTGTATTTTCATTTCTTCTCTCATAAGTTATATTTGGATGTTGTGTATGTATGTTGGTTAAGCTTTGGATGGTGCACCATGATTTACACGACAGTGCACTTGTGAGCCATTTCCAGAACTGCTGCAAAGTTTAAAAATCGGAAGAGATTTCAACAAAAATATGGACATAACACCAACACAAGTATCTTTTAATCTTGAAAAGATCCCTCAATACACAGAGATGAAGAACTTTAACATAAAGTTTTACTTCCACCTTTAACCCAATAGATGGAGCTGCATTACATTACATTACATTACAGTCATTTAGCAGACGCTTTTATCCAAAGCGACTTACAATTCAGATTCTATCACATTTCTACACCGTAGGCACAACTACAGGAGCAATTTTGGGGTTAAGTGTCTTGCTCAAGGACACATCGACATGCGACTAGCGGAGCCGGAGCTTGAACCGCCGACCCTCTGATTGAAAGACGGCCCTGCTATCCACTTAGCCACAATATTAGGATTTACATTTTTTTATACTATATTTATCCTGTTAATTAAGGATAAATTTGTCTCTGCATTTGACCCATCCCTAAATATGGGGAGCAGTGTGCTGTCTTTGACATGCGACACGTCAAAGGCCATGGTTCGAACAACCAACCTTGTAGTCACCAGACAACCCTCTTAACAAAGTGAGCCACGATCGCCCACCTTGTCACTCAGAACCATCCAGGCTTCTTTAGAATGACAACAATGCATTTTTAAAGATCATACACAACAGGAAGGACCCTGTGTTGAATCAACAAAACAGCTCAGGAAAACCGGAGTAGAGCTGTTCCCTCACCTGAAACCGCCTGGGGAGAGCCAGAGGGAGTAGACGGAGACGGAGGGAAGGTGTTACTGTGTGGGTCTGAAGGGTAGATCTGGATAGAGGAAGAATGTTTTTAATTACATGCAACATATTCCCTGACATTCATTATGTTACAGAAATATGATAATATATAACACTTCTTGTGTTGATTTGTTATTACTTACAGATGCCAGGGCTTTCCCAATCTCGTCACCTGAGCTTCCAGGTGCTGCTCCTCGATTGGCTTTTAGGAAACAAAAAAGCATTTCAATTGAGGATCCTATGCTCAATAAATACGTGAGAATGTTGCATGAAAACATAAAGAGCACTTTTCACAAAGAAAAGAGCAAGCATTAAAGGGTTTACCCATAATAGGGTCAGCCATAGGGGGTGTGTGGCTGGGGACTCCGAAGCTGCTGGGGCCAGAGTGGGGGCCAGAGTGGAAGCTAGAGGGATGAGTCCCGTTCACCTCACTGCCGTGCATGGGGTAGTTCTGGGGCGAGAGGGGCAGTGGCTGCCGTTTCTGGGAAGCGAAGACGCAAAACTTATTTGCAAAAAAAAAAAACAGATGGAAGCCCTCAACGATGCATTAGTCAAAAAGTGTCGAAGAACTTGTTAAGCCTTCATAGAAACACAAGACCAAAGTGAGAAGGCCCAACTCACCAGTCTGTCTTGGGGGTTGAGGGCAGTGAAGGGAACATGCTGGCTCAGATGGGGGGAGTTGCCCAGCATGGCAGAATAACCAGGCTGAACCATCGACCTGGCAGAGCCCCATGGATCAGAGGGCGGGTGGAGGCCTTCTGTAAGGGGGCATCCAGCCGGGGGGAGGGGGGGGGGAGAGGAGGATAACCAGCCACAGGAGATGAGAAGACAATAAAGGCCACATATGAGACATGTCACATTACCGTGATGACTTCATTCAACTGTAATGCACTATTCAGCACCCAGGCACCATAGGGTGTTCACTAGCATACGGCTACAGCACCTAAGTTCATCCAGACTTCCCTAAGGATATTGTGGGGACCTAATGTCACATCCGTGGCTGTAAAGGAATATAATTATCTTTCTTTGTGTCCGATACATCTACCCCCATTAACAAAAAGTGTCAGACGAAACTTTTCAACCCAACACAATGAACAAGGGGAGGCTCTGAAGGCAGGTCTTGTTTTGACTGACCTTGCACATAGAATGGTGGTGGGAAGACGTTTCCTGCCTTGGAGACCGGGTAGCCAGCATTGTCCCTGTTGAAATCCTCTCCTGAGGCAGATGCATAAACCTACAAAGGACGCACAGAAGAAAATAAGCGTGAAACTGGTCAGCTCAATGGTTGTAAACTTTCTCACAAACCACTATAATACTAGAAGCAAACTATATAGTGGAACTTACTCGTTGCATGAACGACATGTAGCGGATACTATATATGGCATATTACTTTTGAGATACTCGTAGGAAAGATCCATGGGAGCTTCCTGGAACGACCACCAATTGATTTCCCCATAAAATACTATCTGTACCTGAGTTAAGTTTTCAAACTAAAAAAAAAAGAAGCATTAAATCCCTAATTAAACACAGCACTTCAAAAGTATGTGTTCCTTACTAGGCTAGAATCCATTTTTACGATCTGGTTTTACTACTTAATTCAATAAACAGGCTGTTGCGACATTTCTGCAGACTGGAGCGCTGAGCATTATGTATCGAATATGCAGTGTCAGTGAATTTATTGGGCTCCGTCTCCCATGTCTGTAGAGCTTTTGCATTATATTCTGTTGAACAGAAACACACTGAGAATGGTTTACAGATACATAATTCACACTCTTTAGCACAGCAAGATGAGACCACACAATGGGAGATGCAGTCAGATTTAGTGCATGGTATAATGGGTGGTAAGGAACCAATGTTCTGTACCACAATAACATTCTCAATCAACACTATTCTCGACGAAAAGCAAGTATCCAAACTGCATCTGCAATACTCAAATCCAAATGGACTGAAGTTTTCTTCTGTAATTTGATTAAACAGAGAGAAAAGGAGAGAAAAAAAGAGGGGAGAGGAGAAGAGGGAACGAAGAGATGCACTCCTAATTACTGAACCATCTGCCGAATGCTGGATGGCAGCCAACTCCACTGGCAGCTGGGAAAGAGGGATGGGGGAGGGAGAGAGAGAGAAAGAAAGGGGAGGGAGGCGGAGGGAAGGAGAGGGAGGGTGTGGGCTAGAGGAGGGGGGGAGGGGGTGACGAAGAAACAGGAAGAAAAAGAGTGTCCAGAGAGTGGGAGGGAAAAAATGAGGTGGAGTACGAAGCCCAGTATACATTTCCTTCAGTGATCCACGGTGGCCATAAAGTAAAGGGCCTACAAATACAACGCACTATAAATACATGCTGCAAATGAGTGACTGGGTTAATGAGTGGCTTTTTTCCCCTCGCTTTTCCGTTTTTCATTTCGGTGGTGTAGATGCACAGCTGTAAGAGCTGGATGTCCTGTACAGCAGCCAAGGAGAGGCTTAAGATGCCGAATGGTATGTGGAAAGGGGCGTAAAACATGACAACATGAGCTGCCATGGACCGACTGCAAGAGCTGAGATATAGTTCAGGGCTGCAACGTTCCCTGATGCTAGTACTCACCGAGGACGGCAGGCCAGGGGGCACCTTCCTGATCTTTTTGGGCTGTGGTCCTGAGGGGAGGACGAAGGAGGGAAATCACATAAGCATTCACACGCACAAAAAGCTTTAACTTAAGTGACTTCACAACCACCAATGTGAGGATTCATTCATATAGCGCCCTTCCTCCTGAAGCCCCGCTAAGCCAATCCAACCATCTGTCTTGTGACCGCTCATTAATGCGTAGAGAAAAGGTATTCTACTCCGATGTTATTCAATAACTTTCCTCGTTGAGAACTCAGTGATTTCACTCTCTTAAACTAAGCAGAAGTGAGATTTCTCAAACACTTAAGAAAACCTCAGCAGGAGAAGTGGGGATATACACAGAGCTATAAATATAAATCAGAACAAAGAACACGCTTTCTGAAATTATATCTTAGGACCATGTTCAACAACCGTGCGTGAAACTATCCTTCACAATCTTACCAATGGGCTCCTGTGAGGGTCTCCTGCGAGAGTTGCTTCCCTCATAGGAGGAATAAAACTGGGAGTTGGACTTCAGGCCAGACGGGGAGAGGGCATCGGGACTGGGCATGGGCATCTCACTGGGCATAAAGCCCGGCTAGAGACGGTGCAAAAAAAAAAGCACAAGTTTCTGTAGTAAGTAAAGTAAATCATTGTGGCAGGAAATTCAGAATGATACAGGAAGAGAAAACCGAGTAAGCGACAGAGTCTCCCCTAAAGAGCATGAGGAGAGAAGGGGTGATACGGCCGACTGGTTTACCTGTGCTGCAAATGACGAGTATGGTCCTCGCTCAGCCTTCCCTGTTAGGACAACGGAATATAAAATCAGGTCATGATCGTGAATATTGGGCTTTTATGTCAGTATTAAATCTCAATCTGGTCATTCCCCTTTCTCCATTTGGGGAGCCTCCCATCTGCTGTGAGAGTGTATTATGATGATGTGTGGTATTTATGGCCCTGGACAGCAAAACAACAACAAATTGGCCCATTATAAATGGTTCAGGGGCAATTGTGCCAAACCTCTGTCCCCTCCCCTGACAGTTAAACAGAGGAGAGCTATAGGCTACCATAGTCCCAAGGGACAGCCTTGTTTGTGCATGGGTGCCCTTTACCCCCCCCTGCCCCCGCCCTGAACACACAAACTGCAACAACACACGAAAAAAGAAACCCTCCTCCACATCCTCCCCGATTACTCTGCTCCCTTCATCCACTGCCACCTAAGCAGAAATATGGCTTGCAGTAAAGTGGTACATTAGTGTCCAACCTAGGAACGACTGCCCTCTCAAACAAACACCTCATTGTGTTGGTTCAGTCACTCCATTGATACAAACTTGTGCATTTCAATCAGCATGTTCTGCTGTCATTAAGTCCTACTATTAGAAACACCAGATTGTCTTTGGTTTTTATTTTTTAAAAAGACTTTGTGAAAGTTGTGGTTTCTATGCTTCAGCAGCTTAGTTCAATTAAAAACTTACCAACAATCCCTGATCCATACATGGGGGCAGAGGCAATGCCCTCTTGCTCATTGTAAAGGCCTTGTTCTGCATAACCCTGTGGGAAAGACAACAGAGACATTAGGGATGTAAAAATAGATACAAATAAATTAAGCCCCAAAGAAACTGTTGTGTGTTCATGTGAATAGAAAAAAAAAAGATTATGCAACTGGGCTCTGAGACTGTGCACTATCCTAGTGTTAGGGCAGGACTGACACTGATGAAAGGGTGAATATGGGATTCTTCAGAAACTACAGGATTACTATAGAAACCCACAAATATACCAATAGTTCTTATTGGATCTAATGAAGAATGTAGATTTTTGTGGGTCAGAATGTGCATTTATTTGCATAAGGTATAAAAATAAAGCAAATCAATTAATCCAGTTTAACCAATATTGAACTCAGAATATCTGGTAATTTGATTGGTTTAGAGATGAGATCATAACCCTTCCGAGTTGCTGCTCCAACAAATGCAAACCCGTTTCATATCAGTAAGAGTCTGGACTGTAACATTCAGGCTTTTTGAGCTTCATAATATTGCGTAATGTGTGATGAACCATTATTTCATGATTCAGTGCGAATATGTTTACGCTGTTGTTCATAGATCACGAGTCAAATGTCTCCCTATGTGTGTAACATATCTTAATTTATAGTTACCTCCTCAAATCTGAGTCTGTTCAAAGCAGTAAAGTGTTTTAAACTAAGAGAGGAGAACTTTTTACCCACGACCAAACTGGTGCTGTATCGGTGGTCCAAATATTATAAACTAATATTATAAATTGTGTTTGTGTGTGAGAGCGCTATAAATTACAAGATCACCGGATGATCATGTAATTTATACACGTTTCACTCAATAGCATGACATCTACGAGCTCAGATAAGACGTACCCTTCCTTGGTTGAAAGATGGACCGTTCTGTTCTCCTGGCCCCCAGGGGCCGGACCCACTCCTGTCATCCATACCTGTAAGACAAAGAACTGGGTTAGGCCTATTAACCTACGAAAAAAGGCACACGTTCTTAACAAGGACTCACGCTTAAGCTTTGCAAAACTCAGTCCAACTTCAGAGAATGATGAAGTTGACCTGCTTTGATTCAGTTTTTTTTTCCCGGCTGCTCAAAGTAACCTCGATTGAAGAGCCTCACTTCACAGCTCGCACAGAGACGGCATAGTGACAGCGCTGTCACATAGCGTGGATATGAGCTGTAGGAAGTTTGAATAATTAACACCCGGTATGAGGTTCCCAGAATCATCCTCGACATTCTTCATTCTCCCACTCCACTCCTTTACATTTTCCATGGCAACAGTCATTCGTCCCCCATCCACTCTGTCGCATGAAGCCAACACCTTTGTGTTAACACAGGACGCACGCTGAAGGTCTCAATCGTACATCGTGGACAAGCGTTATCCCCGATCCAAAGCGCTACAGCTTTCAGAAAAGATGAACGTGTTTAAAAAAAAAAAAAAAAAAAAAGGACTGATTTTAAAGATTGGTGAAGCAGAAATTCCTGCCCGGCCCCTTTCTCTCAATCTCCTCTCGTACTGCAACACAGCATCTCTGGGGGAAAGCTGAAGCTTAATTGCGTACTGATTTGCATAATTGTGCATATTAATGAAGCCCGGGCCTATGAATATTCATATTTTTGTTTTGTTGTCTAATTAAAAAGGGGAGATGGGAGAGGGGAGGGGGGGTAGAGGAGGGCTAGAATCATGACAGGATCAGCAGTAGAGCAGACTGATGGGTCCACAGTGCTGAGAGCAGCTAGACTGCCGTGACAACTCTGATCTATACACACGACACCGGCAGAATAAGAGATGAAGGAGACAATGTCTCGTCCTCTCTCTATGGCTGACTGTCACTCTCCACGTCAATCAAAGACCAGGAAGAAAATGCACGAACCATTTCTTTCTGCTTTAAATCAGCAGCTCCAGACAAGAAAAGGCTCCAATTTAATGTTTAATGTTTGAGACCGCATTACAGTTGTGTTATCAATACTACATTTAAGTGAGCTAGTTGCAGTGTCACACAAAGTATTGCCAGACAAGTTGAACAAGCGTTCATTTTTGGGGAAACATTCTATCTTCCACACACACCTACATTATCACCATGTATGCAGAACCAAGTAGGCATCAGTACAGTCAAGATGCAAAGCTAATTATCGAGACATTTTTACCCTCTTTAGAAGAACTGAGGTACGAGAAACACAAACTGTCACCTTTCATTCCACAAATAGCACGGCGCATACAGAACTAACACACAAGCACTCTCGTATAAGAATACCCTTTTCAAGGCACTCAAGTGTAGGGTGAACAGGTGTTAAAGTTAGACATGACTTTGGGCTCAAATTTAATTGAATCAGTGAATTGTGTGAGGAAATAATGGGAGGATTAATGTGAATACTCACACCTGAAGGAGTGGAATTATGGGATAAAGACGAGGGGAAGTAAGATACACCAAGAGGAGTCAGTGGAGAGCAACTTAAATTAATTCTAATAAACTGATCTGATGATAAGCAGATGAACAAAACTGAGCGAACTGCCTTTAATCAATTGGAAATTTCATATCATGACATTAACCACACAACAGAATGATTACAGAGGAGGTTCTATCATTGTGGTCACTGTATTGTGTGTTTTTTATTAATGTGCCGGAATAACATTACCTCTATACACAAATCTATTGTGGATTGAACCATGAGAGTAAAACAATAGAAATACCATGCACATATATGTGTGTATGAAAGTGATGTGGGGGGGGGGGGAGGAGGAAGAGAAGGCGGCTGGTAGGGAGGGAAAGACAACGAGAGGTTCTTACCTCACTGATGATGAGGGAGGGAGAGACTGACTGAGCCGGTGTCATTGATTGTGGAGTATGTACTCAGATATCTGACTTAAGTAAAGTACATTTTCTTGAGAGAGAGAGAGAGAGAGAGAGAGAGAGAGAGAGAGAGAGAGAGAGAGAGAGAGAGATAGATAGATAGATAGATAAAAAAAAAATCAAGAAAATGTACTTTACGGTTCTCTAGATGACATTCGGGGCATTAATATAGCAGCAGCAAACCATTATCTATGTTAAGACACAGTGGAGGATAGTATGGAGTCGCTCTCCTGTGTGTGTTGTAATCCGAGCTTCTCTACGTTTTCTTTACATAGCCGGGTCGCCCCACACGTGCCTTTTAGTGCCTGTGCTTGTACAGCGGTTACAGCTGATAATGCCGTTGTGACCGGCAGCGTCATAGCAGACGCGTAGCACCCCCCCCCCCCTTCAGTTCCCTCTCAGCTTAACACCGTTAGCTCCGTCAGCTCATTGCTGTTGTTTGCACTGTTAGCACCATTAGCTGTGAGCCGCCCGCACAGCGTCGCCATGTTGAGGCAATAGAAACACTCTGAATTTTGAAGTAGCACCGTTAATGCATAAGAGTTAAAGTATTCACTGTGGAGCCAAATGGGCTCTTTAGTGGTTACATTATTATATATAATATTAGATTATTATTATCAGTGATACAGTAACATGTAAGAAGCATATAAATAGTGTAGCTGGTTGCAATGGAGCTAATTTTATTAATTTCTATATGTTTGGGTGGTTTAACTTACTATGTAACAATACATTGTATTTGATTTACTTATAAATAAGTGTAGTGAAGAAAAAAATAGCATCACAATTGTACTGAAGTACAATCGCTGCAGCTCAGATGCCTCCAGTGATCGGCAGAGAGGCCCGTTCCGTTTACCGTACATCAGATAGGTTGAAACACGTAACTGCCGGCAAAGCATTCATGTGAAAATGGTATAGTTGACTTGTTTTGGTCAATTAGTTATCTTATCGATGTGGTCCCGATAAAACTAGGCTTGCCTGGTCTTCTCCTCCAAATTCCAATGCGTAAGACTCTATTTAAATTGTTTTCCTGAGCCTTGCTTGTGTCATTTCAGGGTTGCTGTGGCTCAGTGTCGTCCTCCAATCAGAGGATCGGCTCCGCTAGTCCATGTCGATGTGTCCTGGGGCACACACACACCGCAGGCTGTGCCTATGAATGTGAGCGTGTTCTGATGGGCAGGTGGTGGTGGTGCAAGGGATCATAAAACTCAGGGATCAAATCAGCACAAAAGAAAAAAAGGGAGCAAATATAAAACTTTTAGAGATCCCTGATCACTTTTTCCCCCCGCTGATACTAATTGCCGATCATTGATGATCCATATTGGCAGATACAGATCCCTTTGTTTGATTATAGCAGCTGGTCCACAAGACTCCAGGCTTTTTTGCCACCGTTCCAAAAAATATTTCAACCGCTCTGAAGTCAGTAAACCATCAAAAATTCAACATGTTATAGTTTTACTTTGTTAAAGTCATTTATAGTGTTTTTTCATAAAAGGCACACAACTCAGATGATTAGGAAATAAAAGATTGTATTATACATAATGATGTATTTATTATAAGCCGTTTTATAGATTTTCACTGAATAGAGCCTGAACGCATCATAATGTAACTGAGCGGAACCTTCCTTCATTAGCCACTTCACCAGCTCTCCTTTGGTCAATTTAAACACAGACTGGTTGTTTACAATGTAACATTATCAGAGATCCGCAAACATAAAGCACAAACACCGATGTCCCGATCGCATATTCTACTGAATATCGGTGGATAACGATGTCACTACAACTTTATTTCACACTGTGATGGTTAAGGTAAACTGTGTAAGTAATCAGCGGTTCACATGTGCGCCGAAGCATGAGGGGCGATCCGTTGCACCACTAGCAGTAGCAGCATCAGTGTATGAATGAGTGTATGAACGGTGGTGACTGGGTGAATGACATGTAGTGTTAAAGTGCTTTGAGTGGTTGGAAGACTAGAGAAGCGATACCATTTCAGGTGTTTGGATAAATATGTCTCCATACACTGGTAGAAAAGTGAATACTTTTGAGAGTATAGACATCTATACATTATCATCATTTGTTGACTTTCATGTTGTTAACAGGCACAATGTTTTTGTCAGAACTGGGATTAGATGCGTTTTTCTTCTTCTTCCTCACTATTACCAGCAGGGTTTCCTTAATTCAGACACATTTTGTTATCTCAGTTGGTACTACAGTTAGTAGTTGTGTTTTTTCGTTACTTTTTCCTTTAGATTCCTGTGTCATTTTTACGATTTCCATTAGCGACACCAGAAGTGACAAAAACCATTAGAAAACCATGAGTAGCGCACCACTCAGACAGTCCACCGGGATGGGAGGAATAAAAATGAAAGAATAGGGTGAGTAACATCAGACAAGTTCACCGGTGAACCCCAATGCACTTCTCCTCCCAGCACGAAACGCCCCTTTGAGCATGGCTAGTCTTTAATTACACAGGAAGAGATACTGGAAACAGACAGCCAGCCTGAGTCACGGGCTTCATGAGCTAAACTCCGGCACATACGTTGACCAAACTTGCAGACGTGCCTCAGTTTTTACGTGAACGGAGCCCCGGGCACCTAAAACTGAGTATTCCATTTTGTCTACAGACCTCCTTCCTTCCTCGGCACACATGAGTCACACAGACACAAAGCATGATGTCAGGTCAACTCTTAAGAGAGTGAACACTGTTAATGAAATACTGAACAATGTACAATAACACAGGCCTGGCTGTTTTAACCTGGGAGTCACTGACTCTGACACACACACACACACACACACACACACACACACACACACACACACA